TGTACATTTAAATTTTTAACAAATATTATTAAACTGACCTCCAGAAAGGGTGTATTTACTTTTTTTTACGCAATGAGTGCCTGTTTTCCACACATGCTTGCCAGATTGATGCTATGAATTTTTTTCAGTTTTGTCAGACAGATAAAAAGAATTTATTATTGCTTTATTTCACGTCACTTGTGTTATGGTTGAACATGTTTGTTGGTAATTTCTGTTTCTTTGGTGAATTATCTGCTCATGTCCTTCATTTGGGTTGTTTTTTCCTTTTCTTATCAACTCACGAATCTTTCTGATATACCGTATCAATCTTTTTCTCATGTTCGAAATCTTTTCCCATAGGGCGCCTAGCTGGCTCAGTCAGTGGAGTGTGTGATTCTTGATCTCGGGGTCGTGAGTTCAAGCCCCACCTTGGGGTAGAGGTTACTTAAAAATAAAATCTTAAAAAAATATATTTTCCTAGTTTAGTGTTCATAGTTTGAGTTTGCCATATAGAAGTTTTAGTTGAGAACATGATCAAAAAGTGTTTCAGTCTGTTTCCGTTTTCATGTCATTTTTGAAAGGCCTTCTCCATCCCAAGGTTAGAAGAATGTTCACCCATTTTTCGATTTTACTGTTTTGTTTCTACATTTAAATCTTTTGGCATAATGAATGAAATAGAAATCCAGCTTCCCACACTCTCCCTTGAGTAGCTAGTTGCTCAAGGAACAACCATTGAATAATCTTTTTCCCCACCCTTAAAATACTACATTTATCATATACATGCCAAATTCCCATGTGCATTTGGAACTACTTCTGGACTCTATTCTGATGGATGTGCCAGTCCTATGCCAATCCCAGTACACTGTGCTTTTGTTTCAACTTTTAATATTGGTAGGCCAGGTCCCCCCATTACTCATCTGTTTCAGAATGTTCTGGTTTTTCTCATTATCATTCTGGATGAACTTTTGCATTATTTTGTCAAGTTTCCCAACTCATCCTTTTGGAATTTAGAGAACTGCATCAAATTTATGGATTCAGGGAAAACTGACATCTTTTATATAATGGCCTTCTTTTCTAAGAACAAGTTATTACTCTGCTTACGCAAATATTCCCGGTTTAAGTAACTCAAAGACTTTAGTTTTATTGATTGGTCGAATATAAGTCCTGCACGTTTCTTATTAAAGTTATTCTGAGGGGCTCCTGGGTGGCTCAGTTGTTAAGCGTCTGCCTTCAGCTCAGATCATGATCCCAGTGTCCTGGGATCGAGCCCCGCATTGGGCTTTCTGCTCAGTGGGAAGCCTGCTTTTCCCTCTCCCACTCCCCCTGCTTGTGTTCCCTCTCTCCCTGTCTCTCTCTCTGTCAGATAAATAAATAAAATCTTTAAAAAAAATTAAGTTACTCTGAGATATTTTATGATTCTTGTTGCTCTTATAAGTAGGATATTTACTTCCATTAATTTTCTGATTATTAAAAAGGTATCAGAAATTGTGCTATTTGTGACAACATTGAGGCATTATGCTAAGTGAAATAAGTCGGACAGAAAGGCAAATACTCTATGATCTCACTTAGATGTGGAATCTAAAACAACAACAAAAAACTCACAGACATAGGGAACAGATTGGTGGTTCTCAGAGACGGGGTTGGGGTGTGGGCAAAATTGGTGAAGGTGGATGGAAGGTACAAACTTCATTATAAGATAAATAAGTCCTGGAGTAGTAATGTACACCATAGTGACTATAGTTAACAGTAACATTTGGAAGTTGCTAAGAGGGTCGATCTTTAAAGTTCTCATCACAAGGAAAGAAATTGTAACTATGTGTGGGGATGGATGTTAACTACACTTATTGTGATGATCATTTCACAATATATACATACATCAAATCATTATATTGGACACCTGAAACTAATATAATGTTGTATGTTGATATATCTCTATTTATTTATTTTTTTAAAGATTTTATTTGTTTATTTGACAGAGAGAGACACAGTGAGAGAGGGAACACAAGCAGGGGGAGTGGGAGAGGGAGAAGCAGTCTTCCCAGAGCAGGGAGCCCAATGCGGGGCTCCATCCCAGGACCCTGGGACCATGACCTGAGCAGAAGGCAGACGCTTAACGACTGAGCCACCCAGGCGCCCCGATATATCTCAATTTAAAAAATAAAAATGTAGAAAGCTGGGGCACCTGGGTGGCTCAGTGGTTAAGCGTCTGCCTTCGGCTCAGGTCATGATCCTGGAGTCCCGGGATCCAGCCCTGCATCGGGCTCCCTGCTCCGCGGGAAGCCTGCTTCTCCCTCTCCCACACCCCCTGCTTGTGTTCCCTCTCTTGCTGCGTCTCTCTCTCTCTCAAATAAATAAAATCTTTTTTTTAAAGATTTTTATTTATTTATTTGAGAGAGAGAGAATGAGAGATAGAAAGCACCAGAGGGAAGAGGGTCAGAGGGAGAAGCAGACTCCCCGCGGAGCAGGGAGCCGGGTGTGGGACTCGATCCCGGGACTTCAGGATCATGACCTGAGCCAAAGGCAGACGCCTAACCAACTGAGCCACCCAGGCGCCCATTAAATAAAATCTTTAAAAAAAAATGTAGAAAGCTATTTCTTGTTTATATTTTGTTCTTAACTCATATCTTTATCGAATTCTCCCTTATCCAGCTCAGTCTAGGCCCTGAGTATTATTTCTATGTTGATGATTCCTAATGTCTACAGTCTTATCTTTCCCAAACTCTCATTTCCTCTACAACTTGGTGTTTCCTAAACTCCAAAAATTCTCATATTGCTGTCATAATTTTCCATATTCTGTATATCACACCTGTACCATTATTTATTTAACATTTTTCTTTAAAACAACTCATTAAAAATAAATTTAGCTTTATCTTGTGCAATAATATCCATGAAGTTAACAAGTACTTTGATGTGCTGGTTATAATTTCTCTAATAGGAATGAAAATAAATAGAAAACTACTAAAGTTTAAAAAAAAACATTCTTGGGCGCCTGGGTGGCTCAGCTGGTTGAGCGACTGCCTTCGGCTCAGGTCATGATCCTGGAGTCTCGGGATCGAGTCCCGCATCGGGCTCCCTGCTCGGCGGGGAGTCTGCTTCTCCCTCTGACCTTCCCCCCTCTCATGTGCTCTCTCTCTCTCTCTCAAATAAATAAAATCTTTTAAGAAAATAAAAAATAAAAACATTGTTCTTGGGGCACCTGCCTGGCTCAGTCAGTAGAGTGTGCGACTCTTGATCTCCGGGTTGTGAGTTTGAGCCCCATGTTGGCTGTAGAGATTATTTAAAAATAAAATCTTTTTTTTTTAAGGTTTTATTTATTTATTTGACAGAGAGAGACATAGGGAGAGCAGGAACACAAGCAGGGGGAGTGGGAGAGGGAGAAGCAGGCTTCCTGCCGAGCAGGGAGTCCGACGTGGGACTCGACCCCAGGACCCTGGGATCATGACCTGAGCCGAAGGCAGATGTTTAACGACTGAGCCACCCAGGCGCCCATAAAAATAAAATCTTTAAAAAAAAAAAAAGGCAAAAAAATGTTCTTCTTCAGATTGCTTAAAAACATCTCTTGTATCATCCACCATACTTTTTGAAAGTCTGTTCTAGATGGCAACAAACCTTTCCACCTGGATATTAACTAACATTGCTTCCCATTCAAAGTTCTTCCCTCAAAATCCCTCTCACCCCCTTGCTTTGCTCTGTCAAAGTGATCATTTCCCCAATCACAGGAGTTCCAAAGTTGGGCTTCGAGGATGCCCCATTCAACTTCATTCCCCACCTGAGGATGTTCTTTCAGCTGCATCTTGCAAACTGTCCCTTGCCCTCCATTCTCCCAGACACTTTTTTTATCCTCCTCCCTGACTGCTTCCTAAGGATCAGAATCTTGCTTTGATGCCTATCTCTCTGAATCAGCTTCATCATGGTTGCCTCATTGCCCTTTGCGTTATTTAAACACATTTCCTGCCCCATCCCCATCTTCTGTTCTGCGGACAATCATACCGTGTGTGTGACCTTGGGACTTTCCCTCCTCCCCCTGCTCATCCAAACCTTACCTGTCCTTTTAGGCTCACTTTCTAGAAAGTCTTCTTAGATGATTCTGTCCCCACCTCCACCCCTTTTACTGCTGTAGCAACATCCAGTGTTGTCCCAGGTGTCTCATCACCCTGAGTAGACTATACATTGCCTGAGGACAGGCTTTAGTCTGAATGCTCCTTCTGCATGGGTGTTTTGCCAAGCACACAGAGGCTGGCTCAGTAAATGCTTGCTGAGTCAGGGCATGGTGGCATTCCCAGACTTACCTCAAACTCCACCTCTCCCTGCTACTTGCCACAGCCATTCACCCCTCCCTGCACCACCTCCAACTCCCACCAACCATGGGCAAGAGGGAAAAGAAACAGGTGTAAGAAAAGCAGAGCACACTGAAATATAAGAAGCCAGTTCTAGGATCGTTAGTCTTTTAATATATTATTCTGAAAAGAAAGGAATTAAAAAAAAGTTCCTGACATCTCTTCTGATTTTTTTTAAAATTTAAATAAATACCCCACCCTCCCCCCACCCGCTAAAATTTCCCTCCTTCCCCATCATCCCGCCCATCCCTGGTGCTAGACCCTCACCCCAGAGCTAAATAAGATGCCTGTTTCACAGCAGGCCACACTCACTACCAAATTCTGGTCATTCGTAAATACTGTAAATGAGTCTGCGGCCCTCAGCTCACCGGAGTCCCTCCCTTCTCTTGCTTGGCTCCCCAGTCCAGACCAATCCCCAGCGTCAGGGTGGGCGTGGATGGTGGGGCCTTCAGGCTTTGGGGAGAGCACAAACTTGGTTCCCTTTAACTGCCCACCACTGCCTACTCCCTGCCCAGAAGTAGGTCAGAAGAGCCCAGAATTGCCCTCCCAACTAAAATAAATAACGAAATAAATACCCCCTCCCCACTCCCGGCTCTATTAAAGAGCCCCTCTACCTCACACTCTCTAGCCTTGTCCTTCACCTGACCCGCCCCCCGTCCTCCCTACCCTTCCCTCCTCCCCCATGCTGACCTCTGGCTCGGCCTTTGCCCTCTCAGGAGGAGAAGGAGTCTACCTCGCCCAGGAGGAAGAGCAGCGGAGGGCCTCACTCCGAACCTCAAACCCTCCTCCCCCAAATTTCAGGGGGTGCGGCTGGCGCCCCATGCCCGATGGGCCTGGCAGACTCCCCATCTCTGGGGGTTAGGGTGGAAGGCAGGGGGTTCTCCCTGGCTTTCTCTCACCTGGTCCTTCAAGTGTCCCTCTTTCAAGGCAAGTCTCCCGGAGAGCCGGGCACCCCCGCCCCGCTCCCCAGTCTGGTGCCCCGGCCTCCCGGCCTCCTCAGATGGCAGTGTCCCAGAGGACAGTGTGCTGCCGGCGGCAGGGCGGGGTGCCGGACTTGCGGGGCTCGGGCCCCCGCCGCCAGCTAGGGAGGATGGGCATGCTCTCCTGCTTGCAGAGGCCTCGGTCTGGGCGGTGACGGGCCTTGATCTCCTTGCACACGCAGCGCTTGCGCTCTATCACCTCCAGCAGCTTGCCATCGCGCTCCCGGGAGGGCTGAGGCGGTAGGGGCAGCGGCAGGGCAGGGTGGGTCTGTGCCCCTTCCTCCCGCCGCCGGCCCGCGACGAGGGGAGAAAGGAATAAGGGGGGCGGGTCAAGGACCTCAGAGTGACCAGGCCCTGTCCCCCACCGCAAAGACCAATGTCTTCCCCCAGAAACAAGTCCTCTCTTGCCCCCCAGGCCTCTGTCCTCTCCCCCTGGCTGGGGGTGTGTGTGTGGGTGGGTGGGACAGGAACAGAAACCCAGCTCTTGCACCCTCTTCCTGGCAGGGAGCCCTGGTGCCAGGCTGGGCCCATCTCACCCTGAGGAATGGACACCTTTAAATCATTGTCTTCCCAGTAGAATGCACTTTTCAAATTGGTACCCCCCACTTTCTAAATGCACAAAGGCACACGGTCAGCTAGAGGTGGCGCTGCCTGGCTGGCTGTCCCCACCAAATACAGCCCTTTCCCAGGATCAACGCCCACCCTCCCCCCCACCCCGGGTCCCTATTCGACCATGCCAGGCCCCAGCTTGACCTCCTACTTTTCTTCCCACACCCAGGCCTTCTTCCCCACCTGCTCCTTCACAAATAAAAGAACACCCAACTTCGACTTCCTCCTCACCTGGCTTGGGGCATCTCTAGGCTGGCTGCAGGGCCGGGGGGTATGGAGCGCGGCCTGCCGGACTCCAGAGGTGGAGGCCGAGCGCCCCAGGCGGTAGCCTCCCGTGAAGTCTGAGGTGGAGAAAAGGTAAGTGAGGAGGGTAGGGGCCTCCAGGTTCCCCTTCTGCAGTTCCCAGAGGGCAGCCCCTTCCAGGCTGCCCCTGACTCAGCAGGGGAGGCAACGGGATGGTGATGTGGTGTTAAAAAGGAAGGCCCAGGACGTGGACCCTGAGAGATCTCCCCCCCTTCCAGCCCCATCTTTGTCCGGGCACGGGCAGGATGTCACCTCCATTGCGGTGGCAGGCAGGAAACGTCTGGCAGGGTACAGGCAGCGCTGTGCGACTCCCTCCTCGGTCCCCTCCGTGGTGGATCCTGGCCAGCAGGCCCTCTGCCCCCTGACTCCTCACTGGGATCCCTGATGCCATAGGGCCCCTGTCCTCACGCTCCACCTTGCCTGGACCCTCGGCACTGCCATTCCAGGCCCGGGCACCATCCTCGACCTCTGCTGGGATGACAAGGAGAGCTTAGTGCCTGCACATGGGAAGGGTCTTGCTGTTCCCCCCAGCTACACACACCGCGGCATGCATGGACCAGAAGTGACTGCCCTTTTGCAAGTCACAGCAGAGAAGGGAGGGACCCGATTCCACAGTCCCCAAACACAAACACACAGGAGGGACCCCAATACTGCCACTTTCCTTTCCACCCGTTGGTATCATCTCTGGCCTGAGACACAAATATTTGCTGCTGCCAAACCCTTTTCTGTGGTCATAGGGGTCTCCCCTACCCCAGCTTTAGCTCCAGAGCCCCTCTGGCCCGATAGGGCCACAATGACCCTCCTCTGAAACATAGACCAGGAGCACTGTTCCCCCAGGAGGGGGAGATCCCAAATCCTGAGCCAGGAAGTGGAAAGGGGGGGTGTTGGGGGAAGGGCCGCAAGTGAACTAAGCTCAGCTCAGAGAGGAGGCCTGGCAGAGCATTTCGTTGCCAGGCAACGGTAGGGGCCTCCCTCTCCTCTCCCTCCTGTCTGGATGGGTTGCCATGGCAACAGCTGGGAGGCAGCTGTGTTTAGCTCCTAGTGTGCGCACACTCACAAACACACACCCCTGCAGCCTAGCAAAGGGAAGGGCAGAGAGTAGAGTGGGACGGGGCAGGAGGCGGCGACCCTTGGGGCCAGATTCTAGCCCCTCCCCATCGCAGACCTTCCTGCCCATCCAGCACACCCATGGGGACCCCAGCCCGTCAGCCTGCCGCATGCCCTTATTCTCCAGTCTCCTTGAAAACTTCCCACTTCAGGACAATGGGTTGTGCCTTCCAAATAATCCCTCCAACACTTCCCCGAAATCATCCCAGGCATCCCCAGTCCCCCACCCCCAAATTCCCACCCCTCACTCACTGTCCAGCTCTTTTGCCTTCCTCCCTCCATACAGGACCTTCCTCTGCAGAGCCCAGCCTGCCCCAAATGTCGTGGCGCCCATCTCCTCTTCTTCCTCCTCCGGTGTCCCTGCACTGGCGATGACATGGGCGCAGGAGATGCTAGCAAAGGCACCCCCGTCGGTCCCCTGCTCTTGCAGCTGGATCTTGACCATGGGGGATGGGGCCCCCATTCCACAGCCCTTATTCAGCACCCCCCCAGCCTTGAGGCTCTCATAGGCAGGGGGTCTCTTGAGCCCAGCTGCTGCAGCTGGGTAGGTCCAGAGGGGAGTCAGGGGGCCCGTGGTTGGGTCCGGAAGGCTGTGTGGGGAGGCCAGGCAGCCACGATGGTGGAGGACCCCAGCTGCTGCGCCCATGGCCCCGCTGTGGGGGCTGGACTTCCCAGGCACTGGGGGCCTCGAGCTGGTGCACAGCATCCCGTGGAGAACTGAGATCTCCTTCTCCGTCTTTGGCTCCCCAACACCTAGGGGCGGACCAGCTGGCAGGACGGAGTGCGTGGTCACCTTGACTGCCGAGTACACCATGGTGTAAGACACAGCCTTGTCCTTGGGGGGGCCAGGGAGCAAGGCGGCCGGGGCAGGAGGGGCTGCCGGCGCCCCTGCCGCCTTGGGGCAGATCATGCTGTGGGAGTTGGGGAGCTCCCGCTCCCCCCGGGGCTGGCCAGAGCCCTGGGGTGGCAATGGTGTTGAGTGGCTCCGGGCCCGGCCCGAGGGTCCCAGCAGCAGCAGGTTGGCAGCAGGAGGCGGAGGCGGTGGGGGAGGCGTCTCCCGCTCCCGGGCAGGCACTTGGGGAGCTGGGGTGGAGCCCGCTGGCTCCTTCGAGTGGCAGAGGACCGGTAGCCTCGAGACCCCATCGCCAGGGGTTCGGGAAGCAGCCTTGGCTTGGGGGAAGGCCAGGAGCGGAGGGCGGTGCTGGAGGAGGTTGGGGAAGGGCGGGGGGATTTCACAAGGAGTGGTCTTGGTAGGCGTCCCGTCCCTCCGGCTCGGGAGGGCTGAAGCTGGCCGACGGTGGGTGTGGGGCTGCAGGGCAGGAGGCTGGTGTGGCGAGGAGCTCGCGGTCACTGGAGGGGCCCCGTTGGCCCGGCCTTCCCCTGCCTCCTCGGGCAGCGGGTACTTCATCTCCTCATATATAGCCTCGCTCTCTTCTGAGTCCGAGTCGGCGCCAGCTGGAGGGGTTGGGCCCCTACCCCCAAGAGGGGGCCCAGTCAGGCCCCCTCCACTTCGCCCTCCTCCCCTGAAGACATCCCCCACCATCTCAATGTACACGGGCTCCTCTTCCTGGGCACCCACCTCAGGGTCCCCAGCTACGCAGGACCCCCTACTGAGGCGCTGAAGGGGCAGATTCCCCCCCCGAGGAGAGGAGGCTGGGGGACAGGACTCGTCGAAGGAGACAGAGAGCTGGGTGTTTGGGCTTCTCCTGGGCTTCTGTGGAGGAACCTTCCGGCTGGACTCTCGGCCCTCTGGGGTTGGCTTCTGTGAGCCTGGGCAGAATGGGAAGGAGAACAACAAACAGGGCTCTTAGTGCGGGAAGGAGATGGGCAGACCCGCTTCTGGTCTGTTAACCCATCTGCAAGGGCACACGTGCGTCTTTATTTTCCCCACATTCCCCAACTTAAAGCACAGTGGGTTCCTCTTCTACCAGCCTGCTCTCAGTCCTTCTGATGAACTCCCCAGAATCTGCAGCTCCTGCCATAAGTTCTGTCCCACCCTCATGCCCCTTCAAGGCCACCCCTTTCCCAGGAATGGACTTTTCAGGGAGCTTCCCCTGCCCTTGAATGGTTCATCTCAGGCCCTTCCAAAAAGAAACCACCCCCCCACCACTCCCACTGAGAATGGAACCTTCCATTTCCTTGGTTCTTCCCTGAATGAACCCTCCCCTATAGGCCTCTTCTCGGCCTGGAATGGATCCTCCCAGCCCCTGGGGAGGGTTGGGGGTGTCTCACCTGGTTTCTTGCCGGGGGGCATCTCTGCCCCTGACCCTGCCATGCTGAGCTTGGTGCTGGGATGTCTCCGGGGCTTGGCAGGGGGTCTTCGGGCACTGCTGTCCTCTGTGAGACCCCCACCTCCCCCCCCCAGGCCCGCCCCCAACACTGTCCATGCTGCCCACTGAATGGCAGGAGAGTGAGCGTGGGGCCATGGCGCTGCGGCAGGGGTGGGGGGTGTGCTCCTGGGAGGCTGGCATTGTCATGAAGCCCATCCTGAGGGAGCGGCGCAGCGAGGCGATGTCCCGCACACGGACCCCAGGCCCCGGGCCAGCCCCAGGCCCTGCGGGGCCTGCAGGAGCCACCTCCTTACCGGAGCTGGGGAGAGAAGGCCAAGATGGAACAGAGATTGGGCCTCAGGCCTGGGCCTCCCCCTCCTCTACCCTCAGAGGGGGTGTGCAACCCTGTGGCCTCCCAGGAGGAGGAGGAAGGGGCCTGGGGTGGGGATGGGAGGCTGCCTGAAGGTCTAGGGCACCAAAGCAGAAACTTCAGGCAGAATCCTTAGGCTTTAAAACAGACAAGGACATTGGGGAGGGACGGCGAGTAGGGATGAGCGAAGGGATGAGTACGTGTGCAGGGGAGCATCCCTGGAGCTGTCTGATCCCAGCCTGGGCATATCTGGCACGCGGCGCTTGTGTGGACAGCTTCATGCGCAGGTAGAGATGCAGACAGGCAGCACAGCCCCGCCTGGCACATACACCCGCCGCCACGGCTCTGCTCCTGGCGCGCGCGCCGGCCCACACCTGGCCTCTGGCCTCTGGCCTCCGGCCTCCCAGCGTGTCCGGCTCCTGCGGCCTCCGCTCCCAGATGAGGCCTGTGCAGCCGCATTGGCAGAACAGCCTCCCCCTGCTGATTCTTTTACTCCCTTCCCCTTGCTCTCCCTCTCCCTCGGTGCTGTCCTTTCTCTGTCACCCTCCCAGGCTCACCCCCATTCCCTCTCACTGTCCCTGAGCTTCCGTGTGAGTGAAGGGAGGGGCGGCTGGTAGGGAAGAGGGGAGAGCCACTGTGGGGTGGGCTCTCATTAAGGCCCTGTCTACTAACCCTTCATTAAGGAGAGATCACTGCAGTCATAGCTCTGATTAATCTAATTAACAACAAGAATTAAACTCCACAGTTTCGAGGAGGAAGGGAGCAGGGAGGTGGCTCTGACTCAGGCTCCAAGAGGCTGTGCTGTCAATGGGGGTGAAGAGAGAGGGGAGCGAGAGGGGAGAGGCCAGGGTCCAGGTCCCGGGGAGCGAGAGGAGAGAGGGCAAGCAGGGGGAGGTCCCCAGCCCTGGCCCCTCTGCAGGGCCCAGCCTTCACCTGTCCCACCACCACCACCACCACCACCACCACCACCACACACACACACACCCCTGTCACTTGGCCACTGACCTCCCCCAGCAGCCGTGGTGGGGAGGGGGCCAAACAGATCTTCTCGGGTACCCCGCAAATGACCCCGTCCCTGGACCAGGAGGGCAACAGGGCCTGCCCCTTCCAAGGTCAGGTGACCTGGGGCCTGGAGCCAACCCCACATTGACAGAAAGAAGACTATAGGCCAGAGGTGAGTCAGGAAGGAGTGACTCGGGCCTCCAGGGGTGGGGAAGAGCCAACAGGGTGCTCCTGAGCTGGAAGCCCCCCCAAGAGGCCAGGACAAGGGCTAGAGCCAGGAGCCAGGAGCAGGGTGGGGACAGGGTGTATGCAATCCCAGCAATTCTGTACTGAGCACAGACTCTAAGATCAGACTCATGACCAGGCTGTTGGACCCGGGAAGGGCAGAGGGATGTGGCCCCAGCCAGCAGGGAAGCAGACGTGGGACAGCCCGGAGGGCAATCTGGGACTGCAGCCTTACCTCCTCTTGGCCTCCTCCTCCTTGTGCTGCCTCCACTCCAGCTTGGTTTTTCGGTAGAGGAGGTTCATGTCGTGGGGCAGGAGGTGGGGGCTGGGGGGCCCTGCTCAGCGCCACCAGGCCCGGGGGGCGGCCCTCCCTGGGTCCCGGATCCACTTGGTGGGGGAGATGGGAAGGAAAAAAAGAAAGATGTGGGGTGGGTGGGGGCCAGGAATGAATGAGAGAGAGAGAGAGAGAGAGAGAGAAAGGAGCGGAGATGTGACTTGGGTCCTCAGAGAGTGGAAAACAGATGGAGGCAGAGAAAACCCAACACTACCTCTAGGACCCATAGACAGACAGACACGGAAGGCTATGTGTACACAGAGTCACACACCCTGACAAAGGTGTTCAGAGCCACAAATACACATCCCGGAGAGATCAGCTTGATACAGACTCCCATCCTGTAAATACATCCCGATCTACCACACAGACAGGCCCCACAAACACACATTCAGACACACAAACCACCAGGCCACAGACCCGTATCTACAAACAGAGGACCAGACACATAGATCAGCATGGGTAAACACAACCTAGGAACAGGCAGACACACACAGACATAAACACCCCCGACACACCCACAGCACACACAGACCTCCAGACACACACACCCGGCTACAGGGAACTGGACATACCTACAGACAAGGAGTTCTGCTACGGCCTACTTGCGTACATTGCACCCCACTGGGGAAGGGGGAGATGGTCAGAATCCCCACCCCCTCTTGGGCCCTGAGGCTGGGGGTGTCATGAGGGCAGGGTGGGGATGCTGGCGAAGGGGTGGGGGCGCTCGGAGTTGGGCATCTACAATACGACCCATCCACCTATTTCCATTCCCTGCGGGCAGTTCCCCCTTCCAGTCCTGTGCTGGGCCCGGGGCCTCCGTCCACCCCTATTCCTGCGCCCTGGCCCCTCAGTGACCGGCTCCACCTCCCTCGACGATGGCCCAGATCCCCTTCTTCCTCCTCCAGGATCTGAGAGGCTCCCGGCTGCCCTCTTCCAGTCCCTGCCCTCAATCCCACCCAGGGGTCTCCGGTCTGGCCCCATAGCTACCTTCTGAGCTTCGGCCTCCAGACCTGCTCTGGTTTCCCTCCCCCCAAACACACTCTCCTTTTCGCCGTCGGCCTCACCTCTCCTCCTGGGCGCCCCTCCTCCCCGCCGTCCTCTTCCTTCCCTGTTTGTTCCAAACCTGGCGGCTTCATTCCCCTCTCCATCCAAGGGCCCCAGGTTCCCGGGCACCCCTCCCCTTCCCCTTGTCCTGCTACCCTGGGTTTCTCCGTCCCTCTCGCCCCGCCAATCCTCACTACTCCCTGCCCCCCACACCTCCCCGCACCAAGGCTCCCCAATTTCCACATCACCGTACCTGGCCTGCCGGGCGCCGGCCCCCCCATGCCGGGCTCCGCCCGGAGCAGGAGGAGGGAGGAGGAGAGACAGAGAGAGACCGGGGGGGAGCCGAGCTGGGCCCTGCCGCAGAGACAGCCCCGCCTCCGGGTCCGCCCCCAGACCCGCCCCCGGCCCCAAACCCACCCTTCCACACCCTCCAAGGACGGAGTGGGAGCGGCCGGGCTGCGCTGCGCCGCCGGGCTCGGGTGGGAGGCGCGGGGGACGCAGAGCCCGCGGAGCTCGCGGGGGCACTCGGAGAAAGGCCGCGGGGTGCGGGGGACCTGCCGCCGGCCCGCCCCCGCTTTGAGGCGTCAGCTCCTCGTCGCCCCTCGGCCTCTGCCCGGCCGGGCGGTGTTCGGTTCGGTGTCCGAGGCCCCGGCGGAGCGCAGCGGGGCGCCGCGCGTAGCGGCGCCCCCCGGTGGCAGCCCAGGACCTGCACCCCCCGCGCGTACCCCGCGCGCGCCCGGCGCTCCCTGGGTGCGCACCCCGCGTCCGGCCGGGGCGAGGCTGCGGCTGCGGGGCCCTGAGTGCAGTGAGCCGGCGAGACCGGCAGGGGGTGCCGCTTTCCGGGCCGAGGGGCTCGGGAGAGTCGTGAGCTCTACCATCCGCGTCTCTGCCCAGCAGGGGGCGTATTCCCTTGGCTGCCCCCCATCTTCCTGCCGCCCCCTAGGTGCGGGGAGGGCACCCGGATCCTCGTTTCACGGCCTGGGCTCAAAGGCTTCCGCCTGTCCGCCCTGGCGGCTCAAGTCATCCTCCCGGTAACCTCTGACTCCGCGGCGGCGCCCGCCAGGTCCTGGGTGCCCCGGAGGTTGGCCTCTTGACTGGCACCACCGCGGCAACGGCCCTGGGTGCGGTCCAGGCAGCCGCTCAGGGTCGCGACTTCGCGCCCCCCTCCAATGTCCCATCACCTTTCTCATCAGCTCCGAGAAATCCTCCCTCGGAAATCCCTGTGCCGAACATTAGCTGCAAGAAGATCTGGGTTCTACCCTTAAGTGGCTGAAAAACGGACCTCCAAAAGATATCCATCCCTAATCCCCGGAACCTGTGCACTTTTACTTTATGAGGCAAATCTTTACAGATGCGCTGTGTGGCTTTGGGCAAATCACACCACCTCTCTGAGAGATGCCTCATCTCACACCTACCTCCATAAAGTTGTGGGCAGCAAAGGAATTAATACAAGGAGCTTTGTAAGCTGTAAAATACTTAAAAGGGCTATTGTTGCCCCCCGGAGAGGGAACACATTAAAGTACAAAACAATCCTTTCACATTTACACCTTAGTGTGAATGAATTTTTATTTATTCATTCAATAAACATTTCTGCAGAGACCAGCAGTGTCCCAGGGCCTGCAGACACGGAGGAGTCCCCAGCTGGTGCTGAGTGTCTGAGTTGGTGGGAAGGGAAGGGTCCAAAGATAAATTTTGAATAGTTTGTAGCGAGTCAGCGCTGAAGGAGGGAGGATCTGGGGGTGGAGCAGCAGGGCAGTGTTCTGAATATTGCCAGAGGGGATAGAGCTGGAGGGTGGGGGTTGTGTGGGAGGCTGCTTCCTGGACCTCAGGACTTGGGAGGCCTTTAGGACCTGGACGTGGTAGCCACTGTTACTATGAAGGGAGGAGTGCAGATGCACTTTAACAAAGAAATTCAGAATAAATCTATAAATGTGGAGGCAGGAGGCACCATTTTGTTTTTCCCTAACCCTAAAGAGTGGTTAAAAAATTTCCATGAGCTAAAGCTGAAGAAAGAGGGATGTGTCAGCCCCAGTCCTAGTCTCAATGCCATCAACTACTAGCTGTGAGGCCTCGGGCAAATAACCAAATGCCTGTGAGCCTTTGTTTCCTCAGCAGAAACACTGGAGTTTTAAACCTACCCCACCCTTGCCCTGGGCTGTTTTGAGAATCTGTGCGATAACTACATAAAGCAGACGAATATGAGGAATTTTTTTTTTAAGATTTTATTTATTTATTTGACAGAGAGAGACACAGCGAGAGAGGGAACACAAGCAGGGGGAGTGGGAGAGGGAGAAGCAGGCTTCCCGCCGAGCGCGGAACCTGATGCGGGGCTGGATCCCAGGACCCTGGGATCATGACCTGAGCTGAAGGCAGATGCTTAACGACTGAGCCACCCAGGCGCCCCGAATATGAGGAATTTTCGATGTGCTCAAGAATAGTTCCATATGACCAAAATTAATTAGAATCCATTTCCTTCTGAAGCTAGGAGTGAGGGCAGATGTGGCCTTTATTTATTTATTTTTTTAAAAGATTTTATTTATTCATTTGAGACACAGATACAGAGAGAGAGAGAGAGCATGAGCAGGGGAAGAGGCAGAGGGAGAGGGAGAAGCAGGCTCCCCGCTGAGCCAGGAGCCCAACATGGGGCTCGATCCCAGGACCCTGGGATGTGGACCTGAGCTGAAGGCAGACGCTTAACCATCTGAGCCACCCAGGCGCCCCCAGATGCGGCCTTTAGACCCTGTTTTTGCTCAGATTGTCGGCTGAGGGTGCCAAAAAAGAGAAAATGGCCGTTGGAGGTTTATTTTTTCACGCCAAGCACACAGTAGGCCCTTCATGCATGTGTGCAGATCTTCCAATAGCAAAGGAGGGATGGGATGGGAGAGGTGGGGTGCTTTGGGCCAGCCGGGTTTGTCTTCCCCTGCATCTGTGTGGGGGAGTGTGTGTACATGATGTATAAATGTGTATGTGACCAGGGTTGGAGAGAAAGTGCAAGTCAGCACATTTCTGGGCAGATCTCTTTGTTTCTCTATGTGGGGGCCAGACAAGGGCGCACCTGAGTGTGTAGAATGTTCCAGCTGTACCACTGACAGTCTTTCTGAACCTTCCGGGTCTCAATATCCACGTCTAAGCAGGGGGATAGTACGGTGCCTGAGATGTGGTTCAAATACTCCAGCACAACACTACAAAAGGTACTGGGAGTCGAGATGAACCAAGGCTGGTTGTGAGTTTTTCATTGTTGAAACTGCACGATGGGGACCTGGGAGTCCACCATATTCTCTCTCTACTTGGGGGCCTGTTTGCAAATTGTCACCATAATCCCCCTTTTAAAAAAAAAAATCCTTATTTTTTTTAAATTAAGTACAGAGGACAGAGCAACAGCACCTTCCTCATAGAGTTACTGTGAAAACCAGTGAAGAGACGCCAATAACAGCGAAGCAGCACCCTTACGGGTACGCGGTGCTTACGGGGTGGCGGGCTCCCACTACAGCCCGGGGTTGGTAAGTTGCTTCCCACTCTTCGCAGGCTCGGTAGGCCAATGGCAGCCAGCCCCTACAAGTAAGGGAATCCCTGGCCTCCCTGCAAACTCCTCCCCTTTCACTCCGCCCTCCACGGCCCCTCCCTCCGAGGAAGCGCGGGACTGGGGCCCAGCAGGTGTGGGGTTAAGCCCGTTCGGGGGCCCCGGGGAGTCGCAGCAGTAGCGGCGGCGGCGGCGGCGGCAGCAACTGCACCAACAGCGGTGGTGGCAGGTCTGGCCCCCGGCCAGCTGGCCGGGAGCCCCAGGAGGCAGAGAGGGCGGACGAAGGGGAGGAAGAGGGGAAGGAGGAGGAGAGGAGCAGTCAGCAGGCCGGAGGAGGCAGGACTTCCTGGTGTGGGGGTTGTCAACAGCCCAGAAAGAGAAAGGCAGAGACCGAAGCGAGAGGACCTGGGGAGCGGAGAGAGACGCAGCCCGGCCACGCGGAGGAGATCTGGGAGACCCACTCGCCCCAACCACCCAGGCGGCTCCACCTGGAGGCTCGGGGCGGGGGGCGCAGAGCCGCCTCTTCCCGCACCAGTCCGGAGACCCTTGGGGCTTTGAGAGGCCGCGCCTGGGCTCCACCAAGGAGGCGGGGGTTCCTTTTCCGGAGAGCAAACTTTTTACTGAGATGCCTTGCGGGGCGAAGTGCGGCCCCCGAAGAGAACTGGACAGCCTCTGATCGCCGCCTGCGCCCCCCCCCCCCCCGCTGCTGGGGCCAGGAGGCCCCAGGGGAAGGACAGCCCGACATCTTCGGCGGCCGGGACTCCCGGCCCCAGCTCGGTGGCCGAGGCCGAGAGGTAGGGCTCTGGGCTGGGCGGGGCGCCGGGGCAGCGGGGCAGGGACTGCCCCAGGGATGGGGGAGCTGGGGTGCGCGGGGGGGGGGGGGGCGCTGGACACCCAGCAGAGGCCTCTCGGCGGTGGGGCCAGGCTGAGGAGCTGCTCACCCCTACTCAACCAAGGCCCTGGAGCCCCGCTGCCGTCGGGCGACTGGGTCCTGTGAGTCTGAATCCCAGATAAGAAATACCCAACTTTGGGTCTGGGCCGCCCCTTCCTACTCTGTGGGACTGCTGGGATCTCCGGGTGTCTGGGTCTCTGGTGGTTTCCCCTTCCTCCCCCATCCTGCTCCCCAGAGAGGAAGCCCCGGAGGTGGCCTGCCCACTGCTTTCTCACACACACACATACACACACACACACACACACACACTCTCTCTCTCTCTCTCTGTCTCTCTCTTTCCAGTTTGCAAACTCAGCTCTGGAGTTGGGCAGCGCCAGCGGCAGGAAAAACCTGCCCCTGCCCCCATCTACCGCCACCTCCCCTGCCGTGCCCCCTTCACCAGCCAGGCACCCCCAGTTCCCGCAAGGCCCTGCTGCCATGTCGGACCCAGATGTCCCCAGGGGCCCTGATGCCCCCGCCATGTGGCCCCCCTGTTCCAGGGGTGCCTGAGCCCTTTGGAGGAGCCCCAGCTGCACCCCCCGCCCACCTTGGCCGAGTCCTGAGCCCCAGGGACCATGAGTGGGGGCAAGAAGAAGAGTAGTTTCCAAATCACCAGCGTCACCACGGACTATGAGGGCCCAGGGAGCCCAGGGGCTTCCGAGCCCCCTGCCCTGCCGGCCCCCACTGGGCCCCCACCCCGTCTACCTAACGGGGAGCCCAACCCCGAGCCAGGGGGCAAGAGCACCCCCCGGAACGGCTCCCCACCGCCTGGGGCCCCCGCCTCCCGTTTCCGGGTGGTAAAGCTGCCCCACGGCCTGGGAGAGCCTTATCGCCGAGGCCGTTGGACGTGTGTGGATGTTTACGAGAGAGACCTGGAGACCCCTGGCTT